AACCCAGCAATAATGTACATGTCATATATGAAGCTAAATTTTCGACCAAAAAATACATGAAGCTAAAATGGTTATAGGTACTTCAACTTCAATTAGAGCCATCGAGGACCGGCAAACATTCAAGCAAGACCTCAGCTGCATGCTCCAATTCTTGCTTAGAGATAATCAAAGGGGGCACAAGCCTGAGAACATTTCCTTTTCCTGCTGTTATTATTAGAAGACCCAAATTTCGACAGGCATCGACAAGTGGTGAAGCAGAAACATCTAGCTCTACCCCAACGATAAGTCCCGAACCACGTACTTCTCTCACGTGTGGATTTTTTCCCAGCATCTTTGTTAACAATTCTTTGAAGTACTGACCTTTGTTTGAGACGCTGGATAGAAACTCAGGCTTTGAGATTTTGTCCAAAACAGCAAGGGCTGCATTGCATATAAGCGGCCCTCCAGCAAATGTGCTTCCATGTTCTCCATATTTTATTGAAGCAGCGACTTTTTCTGTAACTAAAACAGCTCCTATGGGGAGCCCTCCTGCGAGAGGCTTGGCCAGCGTCATTATGTCTGGGAATACACCATAAGCTTCATGTGCCCAGAGATAACCAGTTCGGCCTAAGCCGCATTGAACCTGGGAGTAGTTAAAACATCATAAGGAGCTTTTCAGAATCAGAATAGGATAGGATATATCACAAAACTAAGTATCCCCAAAAGTATACATATATGATATATCAGAAACTAATTTAGAAACCATAAATAAACAACAATTTCCATAGCGATCTTCATCAGAAAGTGAAGTTAAGTTAGACATGTTTTTTGGGACTGAAAACTACAAGTACCAGTTTCTCCGAGCACCAACTTAAATGATTATTGAGACAAGCTGAAGTTTTCCAGTGAAGTTCCTACCTCATCAAAGACCAGTAGCGACCCCGAATCATCACAAGCACCACGCAAGGATTGCAAGAATTCTTTAGTTGCGCTAAGTATGCCACCTTCGCCCTGGAGAGGTTCAAGAAACACAGCAGCAATTTTGCCAGAATGAACTAGTTTTGTTGCAGCTTGTATATCGCCATACTCCAAGAAAGTAACTCCAGGCATGACAGGCTCAAATGGCGACCGATAATGCTCCTTACTCGTCAAAGCAACGGCCCCCATCGTTCTCCCATGGAAGCTGTTGGTGAAAGAAATGAATTCTGTTGCAGGCTCTTTCTTTTCAGGAAATGAGAATCTTTGAAACTTTCTTGCAAATTTTATGGCAGCTTCATTTGCTTCTGTGCCAGAATTGGAGAAAAAGACACGATCAGCAAAGGAGCAAGCCACCAGACGTTTTGCTAGCTCCACCTAAAGTAAGAACAACTGCCATATTCGTGAGCAAATTTCACGAGGAATAAAAATACATTTACAAGCGATGGTACTGAAACGCGGCGTCTGTCATTGAAAGTGCCCTCTGGCTGGCCCCTTTTTTTTGGACAAGGCGATATCTACTCTGTATGTCAAATGGGACGGGCCAGCCAGCATGTCACGAGCCCAGCTCGTTTAAATTAGGCACGGCACAGCACGAGCATGAATAGTAGTGGACCGTGCTCGCTATTGCACGAAAGCTTATGTCGGACTGAAATTAAAAAATGAAGTCCAATGGACTGGACCAACCTGTGGCCTAACATGGGCCGAACTTGGCCTGACATGACCCGGACTTGGCCCAAGCCCGCTTCAAGCATGGCCCGTTTGCTTTATATTGTATGTTGTGTTTTGTGTAAACAAAATGTAGCCTTTTTCTTTGTTGCAGTTAAACCAACTATCTTATTCATTTCCCCACATTTTTCTCTGCTGCCAAACACTATATATACAGTTATTTTAGTATATCATTACACAAAGATCACAACACAAGGTTAAATTTTAACCCTTTTTTCTCTAAGATGTTAGTATGCCTCCTTTTTGGTTCTTCCTCCCCTGGTCTGCCGATTTGCTGCTCGATGTAGCCAAATGCTTGTTTATTTGTTTGTTTGTTTTTTTTTTCAAGAAAAGTTATATCATAGGCTCTATAGGGGTAATCTTGGGTAAATATTGAATTTCATGAACTTTTTAGGTGGTGGTGATGATGAACAAGTTTAGATTTGGAGTGCATTAGAATAAATAATGGTGATATCTTTTGTGGGTTACTTTCACGAATTGTCTTGTTGGGTTGACAAAACAAAGCCTTTGTTTTATTAAGTGCTATTTCGCAATAAACATATTATTCGAATTTTCAATTGTTCTCAAATTTTCTTAGCAATTAACACAGCCCTTGCATATTTTTGTTTTGACCTTTTTTAAAATTCGATTAGGGATACATTGGCTTCCAAAATGAAAAGAGAGAATTTCAAATTAAATGGGCTAGTTCTTGGGCCTAAGCCAGATCCAGCTCGTTTCAATATGAATTTGGACTTTGAGTCAGATTAAAATCAATAGTTTTACTAAATGAACCAACGCAACACGGGCCGATAAATTAAATGAGCCAGCCCAATCAAGTACAAATATGTTTAAGGCACGAATTTAAATGAGCTAGATTGACCTGTTTGACATCTTTACTCAAACTTATGTACAACTAGCTTAACCCATGTATACAGGTTGGCCCTATATTATATATATATATATATATATATATTTTTCGTTTTTCGGTTTTAATAAGAAAAATGACAGTAGAGATATAATTGCAATGAAAAATTCAATTGTGACCTGAGGGATGGAATAGTAGGCGTTGCTGACGTGGGTGAGCGTACGGGCTTGCTCTGTGACCGCCCTTATCCAATCAGGATCCCCGTGTCCAAGCGCGTTCACAGCAATCCCAGAATACAAATCCAAATACTCTCGTCCTTCAGGATCGTACAATTTACATCCTTTGCCACTGTACAACACCACGGGCGGCCTTTTGTACGTCCCCACCAGAACCCTCCCCTCCGCCTCCATCACCTCCTGGCTCCCCACCGCCACCCCTGGCTTCGATTGATCGGCCGTGCGCACGTCCACGCTAAGGCACGCACGTGGCGTGGCCGCATTGGCGGGGGCGAGAGTGCTTCGCGCTCCGGCGAATATTGGGGGTTTGAGAAGTCGGAGAGAAAGCATTTTGATTGTGCGCTTCGTTTTGTTATTGGAAAATAGAACCGCGGGTTCATATAGCGGTTTCTGGGAGAGGGGGAGATTGGGACGAAGTGATAATTGAGGAATAAATTTGATTCCGATGTGTGAGAGGTGGATGATGATTTGATTCGAAGGAATTTAAATGTAGGGGGACGAAAACGACGTCGTATGAGGCTGCGTGGGGCTTAAGCAGCTTGACAACTTTGAGCTCAGGCATCTGGAATTTTCAGTTGAACGTTATGCTTTCAAAATAGATGGTATTTGTCTGGTTTCGAGAGAGAGAGGGAGGAAGGGAGGGAGAGGGAAACGGGCAAGGAGCGGGTCTTATTCGGGTACTAATTCGTGTCACTGTCTGAGTGGTCGAATTCCCATTTACGTTTAAGTTCGTATGGACCAGTAACCAAAAAATGCAAATTACGAACACATGATTTAGTCGGTTGGTCAAGATAGTGTGCACGTGCTTTTAGTAGGGGTGGACATTGGAACCGATCAACCGAACCAAACTAGAATGAAAAAATTGAAAAAAATCGTGTTGACCAAAAAGTCAAACTCAATTAAAAAAACCGAACCGAATTGGTTTTATACCCAACAAACTAAACCTAATCGGCCAAATTAAAAAATATATAATTTTAATATTTATTTATATCCAAAGCTATATTTTTGATCTCATAATTAATATTTACCCAAGTTCAATTTCAAAACATCTTTCTTTTCTAGCCTTAATATTTATTTTTGTATGAAATTGAATAATTTGTTAATTTTCAAGCCAAAAAAAGTATAAAATAATAATAATAATAATTCAGTTCAAAATTGAATCGGACCGAAATCGGTTCAACCCGAACTAGACAATTTTATAATTTTTTTGTTAAAACCAGACTGAACTAAATCGGGTAAATAGTACTAGATTCGATTCCAATTTGAGGCAAAAACCAATCCAAACCAAACCGTACCCACCCTTAGCTTTTAGAGCACTTTCGTTCATGATGTCAAAGGATAAGGGCAAGTAAGGACATATACTATTCATGTGAATAGTGATTGCCATATCCTTTTTTTATTTTGCTTTTCCATCCATTGCTATGGCAACCCAAAGATAATTACTATTCATATGAGATTAATAATAAATAAATAAAAATTACTAGGTATGTATTTAAAAAAAATTTGGATTTTTAAGAATTTTTTTCAATTTAAAAAAATATATATATATGCTGATGACATTAGCGCTGACGCCATCGCCTTCAAGCAACAACTCGGGCTATTCATGCTTTCGGTCTTGCCCAGACTTTGTGGAGCCCACCATCTGCCCAAGCTGGATTGCTGCGCTGGAAATGGTTTTTAAGGCCTAGGGGGCCTTTTGCTTGGACTATGCTGCTGGGTAGAAATGCTCTTACAACCTTATTCGTTACTTTGTTTATAAAAAAACCAAATACATCCATACTTGGTTATTGTAGTTCATGTAAGAACCTTCTTACTACTTTATTACTATTCACTGTTGGCATATATGCATAAAATTTTATTTTTGTGATTATGATAAATTATTTTTGCTTATATGTTAAACTATTATTTGTAGAAAGTATAGAATATGTCTTCTTTCCCGAACGGAGGCAAGCAATGTCCTTGTACACGTGTTGTAACGTCAAAATTTCTGTTCATTCAATCATAAAATGTAAGGGATCATCCTTGATATATTGTTTTTGTAATGAAAAGGATAATAAAAAAAATTAAAAAGAGAGATCAGATATGTGTAATGAATTATTAATTCTTTTGTTTATTATTATAATGGGTCTATAATGGACATTACACTCACAGCAATTGACAAAAACTCCTCTTATAGATGAAATTAGCATTGTCATGCACTGTGGTAGCTGTTTCAATGAATCAGAAGCTTGCAAAAATAAATATGAATCTCACAATTGCCATTTCATTATGTGGTCATCAGCGAAGGCAAATAAATCAATACAATTATTTATTCTTACAGATCATTGAGTTAAATTAAAAAAAAAATAACATTCACAACACAATAGTGTACTTACACTAAGCCATCTAAACCTAATACAACAACTGGATAAATGAAATGCTGCAGAAACCAAACAAGCCCTTGATACTGCTTTTACCTGATCCAGTCACACGTTTTCAGTACAGCCATGACAAGTCTTGTCTGAAAGATACAGACTTTGCAGCTCCCAGAACTCCTCTTTCAGAAATTTGAGGACAATCTTCCACAGCCAACAATTCCAATTTGTATGACCCTACAAGTGGCTTTAACCCATCATCAGAAACCCCTAAACACTTGATTAAACGCAGAATGGACAACCGGGGAAACTGCCCCACATGCTGCAGCCCCTCGTCGCTTATCTCTTGGCATCTGACCAGCTCCAAGGTCTCAAGATACTGAGCCAAGCAAAGAGCTTCCATTCCAACATCGTTAAAGGAATACACTTGGTCGAAAGCAAGTTCCCGCAAAGGGCACTTCTGAATCAAACTAAGGATTCCATCCAATGTAAATGAGGAAAATGAAGGGAAATCCCCATCAGAATACGATATCCTGACAGATTCAAGCATCGAACAGTTCTGAGCCATGGCTTTTAGACATTCATCGGTTAATCTCAGTGGATTATTCATCACAAGAGGAAGTGAGAAATCCGATGGAACTCGAAGGAAAATGGAGCGGAGGTTTTTTGATTTTTGGGCTAAGCCTATAATGTCAGAGTCCCTTACCCCAACACACTTGTCCAAGTGAATCTTCTCCAAATTCTTGCACTTCCCCAGCACACAAGCAAGGCCCCTCCCAGGGCTGATGATACAATTTACCAAGCTAAGTTCCACCATGTTCTCACATGCGACCCACTGCTTTTGCCAGCGATCCACAGCTGAACGATCATAAACTTTCATATATCTGTAATTCACATCTACCTCAAATTGCAAGCATTTTAGTTTTTTCCAACTAGAACCTAGCTTAATCAAATCACCCTCCCCAATAGCTCTACAATTCTTAATTGAGAGATCTTCAAGAGTTTCAAGCTTTCCAAGATATTCAAGCCACTCAAAACTGCTAACATTTAGACATCGTACAAGGTGGAGGATAGTGAGAACTTTGCAGCCTGCAACAAGAGATAATATGCCACAGCCAGTAATTCTTGTTGTGAAATTCAACTTCAAAGCTGAAAGTTTTGAGCAAGAAGACAAGTGACCAAGGCCCAAATCAGTGATGAAGGTGCAGTAGCTTAATGTGAGATCAACCATAGAAGGGCAGCAATTGGAAAGAATAAGAAGCCCTTCGTCATCCAACTGCTTTCCTAGTTTGGACATCCAACCAGCGTAAGTTATCTCTACCTTTGTCAAGTTGGAAAACCTACTGCAGAGAGAAGTCAAAGCTTCATTTGCAGGGTCTAATCCACAACCAACCCGAAGAGATTGTCTCTGTTCATTATCCAATCCGTGCAGGTGTTTACACGCCAAAGACAAAGAGTTTCTATCAGTGGTTTTCTTAACCCTGCTCAAGATCTCCCATACTAACTGGTCCGGCAAACAATCCATCATAACTCTGTAATTTCCTTTATTGAGAATAGACTAGCACCACCTGAGATTACAACAAAAGCCAATACGAGAAGTTTTAGTCTGATTACGGGAAAATTGGAACTTGGAACAAGAATATTCATAATAAAAGCTTAAGAGATGCTGTTTAAAACAACTTGATATCGTTGTTCTAAACACTTGAATAAACAGTAATGAGTGTCATGAGACTTTCTCGCATGTGCACCCACCCTCTTTTCATGAACTGGAAAGGAAAATGAAAGCTCTCCATCAAGACACCATTACCGTCAAGGAAGCCATTCCGATGACGCTCAGATACCAACAAAACTAGGTTCTTTACGACAGTTTCTGTTATGAAATTACATAAAACTAACAATTCTGTGGTATGAAATGAAGCTTTCGGTATCCTCCTTAGAATTTACAAACTCAAGGATAAAATCCCAAGAAAACCAAAAGGCCACTTGCTAAATAAGGAATAAGAAAACAACCGAAAGAAAGCAAATTAACCACGAACGGATAAAGAAAGCTATCATCACCCAAAAATGAGGGCCTGTCCTACAAATTAGTGATACCCTATAATTCCGGAAACCCATAGAAAGAAAGGAAAACATACTTTAATTCCACTATTTGATCCAAAGAAATTGAAGAAACACCATTTCCCATGAGACCAAAAACAACCAACCCACAAAATTTTCACAAATTAAAAGAATTAAAATTGACAATTACCCATTAATCATGCCAATCCCTACAATAACCAAACTGCATACAACAATAACAAAGGTAATCAGATATAGTTAATCTCAAAGGAAATTAAGAGATGAAATGACAAACAGACCAGAGCTATAACGTCGAAAGCTGGAAGCCAAAGCACAGAAACATGAAAAATCATACCATAATTTGGACAGGAGCAGAGGGACAAGATGATGATGATGCTCAGGATTAAGGAAGGGCGAGGAAGATGGATATTATGAAAATGCCAAATTTATTTGTGTTTTATTTTTCAGTCGGTGCATATGTTTGAAGATCTAAATCCTCTGAGGTTGGTCAGACGATCATAGAGTGCCAGATAGATCTGGATGGTTCAGGTGGCAGCATCAACGGTAACAGTTATCACCTCATATAGTCAACCTTATTAAACTAACTAAAGTAAGACGAATGTTTTTGACGAAGAAAAGAAGGAGGGAGTTTGTGGGTTTAGAATTTAGGAGCACTGGTCTATAAATTAAAGCCTTTTTTTACTAAGCTAAACTCCATTAACAAGAATGAATCTCTTAGTTAAACATTTTTCATGTGGGTAGCTAATATGGTTAAAACATTCATACCTACCTAAAGCCCGAGTTGCGTGTTCGAAACCTCATATCCCAATGTCACTTGTATAAAGAAAATATTTTTCTTGTGAAAAGAGATAGACAATAACACCAAGTGTGTTCCGGACGCCATGGGAACTCCAGAGTCCAGACATTAAAGTCTTATCCAATATATATAAGTTATTGAAAGAATCAAATAAAGGGGTTGCAATAATATTTGAAAATAAAATATGTAGAGTTGACTTTACTACTTTAACCCAATATCATCTCTAAGAGCATGTCCACCCCAAGGCTAAGGCTAAGAGCAACTCCAGTGGCATGACAGAGCCTCGGCTGGGGAAAAAAAATGCTAAAATTTGTTTTCAGCGAGGAGTCCAAGCCCGGGCACAAGGTGGGACCCAGCAACCTGGGCTGGCCCGAGGGCAAGGTTGGCCCAAGCTCCAGCCCTTGTTTTGGTGCTGACGTCAGCACTACAGTACCACTACAGTGCTCACGTGCTACAGTGCCGCTACAATCACGTGTCGTGCTTTGGGCTATCCGATAAGATTTTTTTCTCCAATCCAACGACAGCCAATTTTTGTGCAATAAAAAAATGAAAAAAAATCAAAATTTTTTTTAAAAAAAATACCAAAAAATTACTGATTTTTTTTTCTTTCTATAAATAGCAAAATTTTATCCAATTGAGATATGAATTTTATAATAAATATTGACACGTACAAACCCAAAAATCTTATCCGAAAATATTATCCAAATTAATTGTTTAAGTAAACAAATTTGTGAAAAAAACAAAAAAATGAATAGTAATTGCCCTTTGCCATGGCAACGAGTGGAAACATACAATACTATTTGCAAGGGCAACCACTATTTACGTGAATAATAGCTGCCCTAGCTCCCCCCTTGCCATGGCAAGGGAAAAATGGGTGGAGTTGCTCTAAGAGCACTTCCACCAGTTAACCCCTTGTCATGGCAAGAGGAGCCCTACGACAGCTACTATTCACATAAATAGTGGTTGCCCTACCCTCCCTTAGCAAAATGTGTTTCCAGCAGTTTAGGTTTGCCATGGCAAATACTATTCTTTTTTTTTTCCCCACAAATTTGTTTACTTAAACAATTAATTTGGATAA